AAGAATAATATCATATTAATATCACAATTCGCAATTCAAATTTCAAAGAGGAATCGCTAATCTCATTTCTCTCTTCAATATTTATCTATTTATTGTTTAATTTAAGACTCCTAGCTCGTCATCGATTATGTTGGAATTGTCACGTTAGATATGAGAAAACACACATTAAAAATCCTCGAATGTCTCATTTCGAAATAAAAAATATTTTTATTTCTTATTTCTCCATATGTAAGTTTCGAAATTAATTTATATGTGGAACTTTGGGATCTCAAATTGAGATACAGTTCCGTTTAATTAATTTTTCGTTTCGTTTCCTTGGCTCTATTGCCCAGCTTAGAAGACAGCATACTTATATTAAAAAATATTTTGACGGCTTTATTGACTGTCAGGGGAAAAGAAAATAGTTTTCGAGGTATTTTAAAGTATCCTAAAATTATCTTAAAATAGCTGTGTTTAATCGAAATATTTTTTAAAAAATGGCACCTAAGAATTTTTAGCGCGCGCTTTTCCCCGCCTACGTCATCACAATCCAACATGGCCGCAGCGAGGGCCCAGGAGCCTTAACGCAGGGTTGAAAATTCATTAATAATTCTTTATTATTGTTTGTAAAATGATAGTATTGAGATCTCCTTCGACCGGCAACCATTCGAGTAAGCGAGATTCCAAATTGCGAAATCCTGCATGTGCATCGTTCGATAGTGATTCGTCGTTTTACCGTTGGTGCCTACATATCCTGACGTTATCAACGTTCCAGAGCTTCGAATCTGCTCGAGGTAACTGCTCAGTTTACTCGATGTCGGTATACGACGAATATATCCACGTCGATTCACCCTTCTTATCGACCCTATATTAAGAATGAAAATCCTCGTATATGAAAGGCCGACGAGAGTGATACTATACTATATATACGATGTCGTTGCTATATGAGAGAGAAAGAGAGAGAGAGAGGGAGGGGGAGAATAAAGGGTTAACCGAGAGGAACCGGTAGCCACCCAAGAAGAGAGGCGGCTTTCTCTCTGTGCCGACTCGGTCGTTTAACAGGACTCCCTCCGCCCTTTTTTTTGCCGATCCTCTTTTTCCCTCAAGGTTGCCACTAAGAGATCGTCCTCGCGAACGAGCGAGAAAAGGAGAGGCGGAACGAATGTCTTTTGCGCTCGGACGATGCAGGCGAGCTTGTTAGGCTGACGTCTCAATTTTAGATCGGCAATCGGTAGATCGCAAAGGAACGGGGAGATAGGAAGATATCGAGGGTGGGTCCACGTGTGCGTGTCGCATAAACGCTTCAGCGGACCACACACATTTGCCTTTCGTGTGTGTCGAGCAAATATATATATATATATATATATATTTATTTATTTATTTATTATATATTTATATATATTTATATATTTATATGTATATAATATATAATGAGTCGACGAGATATAATTACATATATTACAAATAATATATTTCTCCATCGAATTTATTTTTAAATAAGATACCGTAATCTAGATTAAAAAAAAATCAAAAAATATAGTTTCTTCTAAATTAAAAAGCATATATATATATAGCGAGAGAGATATATGTATTAATACATGTATATATGACAACTGTATATATATATATATATATCTAGATGCTTCGAGGAAAGACAAGTCCAAAGACAAGAGGATAAGAAGCAAGGAGCAAGGAGAGAGAGAAACTGTAAGAGACAGCGCGCGGAGTAAAAGGCTCTCCATCGGGAGGGACACGGAGCAGGAGAGAGATAGGGATACAAGGAGGAAGAGAAGGAGAAAGGGAGAAGACAACGCGCGCGCGGCGGTGGCGTCGAGGGTGAACCCTGCGGGGAAAAGAAGAAACGCGAAGATAGGAGCCTTGGCTCATAATAGGTGGAGAGGCCGGCGCCTCTCGTAGTATCACCACGTGGCATGCGGCCAACTACTGTCTCCTGATCAATATGCTTACGGGCTACCTCGCCTCTCTCTTTCTCTATCCCTTTCCTCTCGCGGCCTCTCCCTTTTGCGCCTCTCCACGCCGCGGCGGATCAGGAGGCCGCGCGATGCGACGCGCTCTTATCACGCCGATATCAAATGCATTCGCTTATTCGTGCGTCGAAGGCCCCGGGATATGTCGAGTCGTCTCTTCTCGAGATTCTGACACGATCGAGAGATCTATTCCGCACCCGAAAGTTTCGCCGTATTTCTCGAATAAAGTTCAAGACAAATTGTACGATTTCCAAGTATATAATCTTAATTAATTCAGATGGTTTTACTATTATGTATAACAGCTTACGCTTGTTTCATTTAAAAGCATATATTGTACACGTTTAAATTTTTAAAAATCCGAATAGTAATTTTATTTTTAAAATAAATTCGAGAGAAAAAAATGAAATAATTTATCTCGCGTCGATCTATTTAATTATTACACGATTGATTATTAGAAATGTAACAAATCGATGAGAGAGAGAGAGAGAGGAATATCTTTAACGTTATGTAAGAAGTATCGTTACAGATCTAAACTATCATTTTGTCCTGCCAAAAAGCGATTGAAATCGCTGAAATATTCTGAAAAATATCTCGTGGCCGCAAATAAAGTTGGATATTGTTCTCGAGTGTTTATAATATCGAAATCCGCGTATAACGTCAATCTTTCCTCTTTTTTTCAAAATCGATTACAAGCAGTCTCACATTTTTCGACGTAAAAATTTTCGTGTCGCAGCTAAACTTCAAAATTATTCTTGCGTGTTCCGGTAAGCATTCTTGCTACCACAATGCGAAACCTTCGACTCTCGCCGAATGGAAAAAAGTTTTTCGCCGGCATGGATCTACCATTAACGCCTAACAGGTGGTCCCGCTCTTTCGCGATCGGTGAACGTCGCTAATGAGATACACATCGAGAAGCTGGTGGTACCACGCGTCAAACACGTAATCCAAAAATTACAAATAGCGACATCTAAGTTGCGACTATCCATATAACATAAACTATTTCTCTCGTTTCGAAATCATCAGCCAACCCTAAAGAACGTCAGCCGCGCTATCATCATCAGGGTTGACTCTACACTACGCGCGTATTTATACGGGGAGGCTTGAAATATCTCGTTCGCGAAGAGCCATCGCGTTATAAGGGACCACCTATATAAAGTTACCGAGGAGTATTAGTCGGCCGTTGTGGAGTACCTAATATCACGGTGGGTGGGTGGACAATATCTCGTGGATCGGCGGTGCGATGGTGAGTGGGTGGGTGGGTGGTGGTGTGTTGGCTACCGTTGGTGCTGGTGCTGCTGCTGGCTGCTGCTCTGCTGCTGTTGCTGCTGCCGGCTCACACAGCCGCTGGTGATGGTATATACGGCGGTGGTGGTGTGCCGGTATCGGTAGTAGTGGTGGTGGTAGTGGTGGTGGTTGCCCCTCAGTGTCCGGCGCGCCTCCGACAAGCGTGCTTCGGTCGTTACAAGAGGATCCCTCGAACGCGCTCTCTCGGCGTTCGCCGCGGATGACATCGGCCGACTTCCTGCCGTTGTCGCGCAAACGGAGAGACAGTGGACAAACAGGAGCGTGATATATAATAAGCGGGAACGAAGAGAGAAGAGAAGAGAAGAGAAGAGAAGAGAAGAGAGGAAGCGTCGTGGTGGAGGACGAGAGGTAGACCTATAGGGATCTACGTGCGGTTCCCCTCCTAGTTTCGTCGGGACCTCCTTGTCGTCGATCGCGCGAAGAAGGAAGGATGCGATTATTGGCATCGGCCAGGTTCGGACGGTGCTCGTCGTCGGTGACGGGGTGCGCGGTGACAGGTTCGCGCGAATCGCTCGCGCGGGTCAGGACGGACCGCCCGCAACGTTTGCCGCATGCGGCGGACAGGCACGAAGACGACGAGTCCTGCTAACCGGATTCCTAGCGGAAGGGTTGGACGCATCCCGAGTGTGGACCGCACTTTCGTAGCGCGCCGCCCTGGGTCTCGAGTGCCCGAGGAGGAAGTTGCTCGGCACGCACGTAGTTACGCCAGACTTTTAAATGGTGCATTATTATTCCGGGGATCTTAGCCGTAGTGAAGAGTTAGGTATACATAGGAAGTGCCCGAGAAAGTCGAGAAGACCCTAGTCGATAGCGAGCGACGTCGCCGCTTCGTTCGTTCCGAGGAGCCGGCGTGACAGGGAGGAAGAAAGAAAGAGGAAGAAGCAAAGTGAGAGAGAGAGAGAGAAATAAAGAGGAAAAGAGAAGAGAGAGAGAGAAAAAGAGAGAGAGAGAGGGAGGGAGGGAGAAGAAAAGGGGTTAGAGTAGCGAAGTGAAGCGTGCACACACAGTCAAGTTCAACGACCCGGTCGGATTAGCTCGCGCGAACGAGCGGAAGGTCGGCTCAAGGACGGTGTCGAAGAAGAGGTGTTCTAAGGCAACGAGAAGAAGAAGAAGAAGAAGAAGAAGAAACGCGTTTGATGGGTGAACGTGAGAACGCGGAAGCAAAGCGAGCGCGAATGGCCGAAACTACGAGCGGCGTGCACCGGTCGGTTACGGCGATCCATCGCTCGGGCGAGATTGATCCTGAGGTCCCGGCAACCGGTAGTTGGTGATGGGGGGTTTAGGCGAGGATGCCTTCTCCCTGTCTTCTCTGTCGTCATCATCACCGTCGTCGTCGTCACCGCTACGCGCCGTCATCCCCTACGTCGTCGAGCCGTCGAGTTACTCTATCTCGCGTCGTCGTCATCCTGGTCCCCGCAGCAATCCCTCAGCAAGCCGGCGTAGCCGGTCGCAGCCAAGAAGAGGAAGAAGAAGCGATACGCCTGTCATCAACGATAATCCAAAGAGGTTCGTCGGGAGAGATCGTCGAGATTTCCTGCTCCTCGGGGTCGGATGCGTCAGTGGTAGCGACGTGGTCAACGTCGTCGACGTCGAGGAATCCGACGATCCCCAAGGAAGGAGGAAGCTCGATCCCTCAGCGGAAGAAACAACGCCTGTATCGGGTATTTGGGAACGGAAGGAGGAAAGAAGGGAGCACCGTAGAACCAAGAGAAGGAGGTGGCGGAGGTGGTGGGGGCGAACGAGGTGACTCGCCGTCGAGATGCACCAGGTGCCGTATAGAACGGAACGCGGTGGCACCTCGAGCGAAGGTCCGAACCATAGGAATTTTTGGAAGCAACAGCATCAGCAACAACAACAACCCACTAAACCACCCAAGTACGGTATTCCCACCCGAGTGCTGCAGCAACAGCAACAACAACAACAACAACAACAACCGTCTCGATCCTCCCGCATCCCTGTCCGTACTGTTCGCGGCCGAACGGCGACGCGTCGCCATTGGTTACGGCGGCACCGGGACGCCGCCGGGCCCGACGTGCTGGTCCGCGACTCCCCGCCGCTTCACTACTCTCTGGGCCGCGGCGCACCGCCGTTTCTCCCGTCCAATTTGTTGCTCATAGGACTGGCCCTTTGTTGCCTGGCCCTGCCGGCGGTGCAGCCGCGCCTGAACGGCCACTATCAAACGTGTCCCGGTTGTCCGCAGCAGCAGACGCATCAGCAGCATCAGCAGCAGCAGCACAATCATCATCATCATCATCATCATCACCACGTGCATCACGACGACGCGACCAGGAGCGGCGGCTTCTTCAAGGGCACCACCGCCGCGCCCACCCTGGACGATCTCAGACTGGAGGCGATCAAGCATCAGATCCTGCAGAAGCTCGGCCTGAGGTCTCGCCCGGACGTTAACAGAACGTTGTCCACCGTGCCCCGGAACCTGGCGCTGCAGACCCTTTACCGGGCGGAGGCGCAAACGCCGCCGCTGCACTCCGACCGGTCGAGGGTCAACGAGAGCGAGCACTCGGCCGAGTTCTCCTACAACGGCGAGAAGTATTCGTACAAGAACTTAGATCGAGAGACCACCACCACCGAGGGCAACGCCAGGACCACCGCGAGGTCATCCTATCAGGGGTACGACAACGTTCAGGAGGAGCTCGACGATTTCTACGCCAGGACCTCGGAGATCATCACCTTCGCCGAGCCGGGTGAGTTTTACATTTTTTTTTACACATACTCATATATATATATATATATATATATATATGAGGGACACTCGATGATAAGTCTATTATCGCATAAATAATGTGGGTGACACGTGACTATGTATGTACATGCGATTGCATTTATGATTTTTTATTAAATGCTACACTGTAACAGCCGACTTGGGCAGCGAAAGAAATCTTTTTTCGAAATATTTTTGAAAGAAGGTAAGAATGAGACGTGGATGCGATATGTAAGCGATTACTAAAATGCGAATTTTTACGAATGTAATTAATCGTATTTATGTATGCAAGTGTTTGAAAAATTATTCATATATTTATGTGTTATAATATATAATAATATATTAATATATTTATACACGGAGAGAATTTTTTTTTAGAATTTATCCAGAAAATATCGTGGGACCAGATGATATTGGAAAAAATTTATAAGAATTTCTCTGATTAATATTTGTACATATACTAAAATTAATCGAACATATTTTACATCTTATTGTGGTAGATATTTATCGGAGAAACTCTTATCAAATTCTTCCAATACCATATATTGTTTCGGACGATTATCACGATTTTTAGAATAAATTAGAGAAAATTCTCTCTGTATATATATATATAATATATTAATATGTTAATATTATTATAAATATAATTATAACATAATTAAAGATTAAAAAGTCTTGAAAAAAACGTGCTATGTAAAATCATATTTACATTCATCGACACTATATATAGACACACGAAAATTTAATTGCTGCACTGAAAAAAAAATTATTTGACTCAACAAAATCTGCGGTTGAATACGTGCAAATAAATATCAACGTAACAAAATATTTAGTTCTTATTACATCGTCGAATAATTTATTTTTCAGTGTATGACAATGCAACGACGTCGCGATAAAATGCATCTTGTTTTGCGTAGATGGCGAGTAGAAAATTCGAATTCGCCGGTGATATTGTATCGGTTTTCTCGATCTCGCATATATGTATATTCCTAACTTTCTCCTTTGTAGACTCGAATATGCGGAATACACAGGGACTTGACGAGGAGGAAAAATCCGCGAGAAAATGTACTCGCGTACGTTCCTGCGCGACGTCGCGGTCAATATCGAACAATTGAGATCTAAAGAACGCGAATGCCCTTGCCGCACGCGTGCGATTTCCGATGCAACGATTTTTTAATGTGTAAAGCTCACTTCCAAGAAAAACACTCTGTAACGTGCCGGTATAAGGTGCGAGGAGAATCCTTGAAAAAGTTACGAACACATCCCTGCGCGAAACAGAAACGTAAGTCGCATAACCCGGGGAGAAAACTTAGCAACTTTGACAACTTTGCTCGATAAGTGTCGTAGATTTTTTCCTCCCCCGATCAAAATATTCCGCCTACGATGTGTAAGAAAATTATCGTACGTCCAGATAAAGGACGTTCCTTCGAGGCATATAAGTACTCGGAGTTATACATCAGCAGTCGCACGTGTATGTGTATGCGCAATGCTATTATTTATTAATTAATCGCATTATATTGCATCAGCGTCTCGCGTAATAGCATACATACGGATATCCGAGATTTCTTCCCTTTATGCATTTCGAAACTGCGTTTATATATATTACTTTGGATAAATATCGAAAAATCGAATTATCGCAAAATATAGAGGGTTGTAAAGAGGCCGAAGCGACTTCATTATAAAACTCGATTGTACGAACAATCGGCAGTATAATTTCATGGGTGCGCAAGCGAATTATAAAATATGCGCGTTTCCCTTCTTTTGCCATTTATTTAACATAGCCGGGAGGAAATATACTGAATTAAGTTGAATTCGTTCGATGCCAAATCGCGCGCGAGGCGAACTTATACTGATCCCATGTCTGATTGGATGACCCAGTCACTCGATGAAAGCTTCTCCGAAACTTCTGTCCCAGAACGTCTTTCTCTTTCGCTCTCGATACGCCTTAATAAAGATCGCTTGAGTGATCGAATATATATATATATCGGTATGGACCAAAAATATATATAACGCGACTCTCCGTTTATCGATCATACACCTTACGATCATTCCTTCATCCCCCTCGAATTTACTCTTTCATTTGCGGTAACATGATTGTGGCTTTTCATAGTTCTCACATCGGAAAAAATATTTATAAATATAATCATATTTTTTTAGAGATAATATCAATTTAATATTAATATTTAATTTAATATTAATTTTTCGAATTCTTCTATATCGAGAAATATCTTAATAAATATTCAGAATAAATTTTGTCTCCGGGAAAAAAAATGGAGGCTGCGTGAAGAAATATTTATCTCTTCGAAGCCACTTTTTTAAAATCGTAAACGTAATAAAATTTTTATTTTGTAATGTTTCATCATTTATTTATAATATATTAATTTATAATACATGAAATATAAATTTTATTCAAATTTGGGGAACAAATGCAAGTCTGATTTTTTAGAGATAATACTTTATATGCATAATATCAATTTTTATTCATTCCTTTGCATGAGCATATATATAATTTAATCGAATTATCTGCAAAATAATATTTCGAATTCTTCTATCAAGAAATATTTCATATAATAAATATCAGAATAAATTTTGTCTCTGGGAAAAAAATGGAGGTTACGTGAATTTAAGAAATCTTTATCTCTTTGAAGCTACTTTTTTAAAATCGTAAACGTAATAAAAAAAATTTCATTTTGTAATATTTTATCATTTATTTATAACATATTAATTTATAATACATGAAATACAAATTTTATTGAAATTTGGAGGAAAACGCAAGTCTGATTCTATTATTGCGCTTTGGAAAATAGAGCAAACGCGACACCCGTGCATTAAATAACAAGTACGCGAATGGAATTGAAATAGCAGTTGCAATAAGCTTGGTCTCCGATAACAGGACGACTTCCACGAAACGCCAAACAACACGTCGCATGTTCAACACTTACAGCATGCTCGATACACACAAATACAATGTAATAACTGCGGTGTATACAACGCGACTTCGGGGTTAATCTATCCGCGTGTATTGCATTACTTCTCCGGCAACGACACGTATAGGGTATATATGCTTTATTACAATTCCCCGATTTCATCTGATAACGATAGGTAAAAGCGCGTTTGATCTCAATTATTATATAAAAATGATTCATTTAATAAATATTTCTCTAATTTCGGAGCAATGTCAATTAGACTAGATGAATTTTTCTTCCGATGAAGATTATCGCAAATCGCGGACACGGGACAAAATAAACCCAAAGCTGACTCATCGCGAAATTTCGAGTGGCTCGTCACGCTTGCAACTTCTATATATCATACGCGACATTCCCATACATTATTCACTATAACATCATTTTAGTTTCGCTTCCGTAGTTTCGCCTAGTTCGCGCGCGGGGTCGAGTCTCGTCACGACGATTCGTGTATTTGTATAATTGCAGGGTGGGAAAAAAAGTCGCGGATCCTCTTCCGGGATTCCCGGCGCGAATTTCTCGAGGAGTTGTCGAGGAAGAAGAGCCGCGATATTCCTCGTCTCGCGCGTTATTCCGCGTGTTCGCGAAATTCGCGAGGATCGACGAAAGGCAGAACCGTTCGTCGACGAGAGCTCGCTCGCTTTGACAGGTACGTCGTGCCCGCACGGGGCCACACACCTGCAGCCACGTGGCCCGCCGCAGTCGTCGCGAGTGTTGCGACAACACAGAGGCGGTCTATAGTTCGCTCCGTAGTTCATAGTAACTCTAAGTTTAACAATAAGGGTAATAGAACCCCAAGGTAGAAATGGTAATGTTACCCCGACCCGCGGCCTAGCCGGCGCTTGCACCTTCCTTCATCATTAAATTAACGAGCCCCCGAGCGAGCGAGTTTCGACGTCCTCCGTTTCCTCCCTCTTTGCGTGAACAAATCTTTGTCTCTTCTGAAGCTATGCTGTTCGAAAATCGTAAACGTAATACATATTTTATTTTGTATTTTATCATTTATTTAGAATATATATTCATTTATAATACATGAAATGATAATTTTATTTCTATTAGAATATATAATTAGTTTCTTATTCGCAGAATTCTTTGGAAATATAAATATCTCTCCAAAGATGACTTGATAAAATAGAAATATATAAATAAAATATATAAAAAAGTCTCGAAAATAGAAATGTCATTTTTACCGACATTCTTTATATACCTAATATTTTAAAGAATTGTCTCCTTTTTTGTTTTTTTTTTAATTTGCGTTAGCTAGATTATGGGAAAGATATTACATGGAACGAGCCGATAGCGACGACGTACGGAGGACGGAAATTCGGCTTAATTGCATTTTAGCGCGGTGTATTACGCTCGGACTCGTTCGCGATCGATTCTCCGCGAGTCGTGTCGGCGGAGAGTCCGCGAACTTTTCTCGACTCGCGCGCTCGCGATATCGATATCTCGGATTCTCTCGTCGGCGCGCGCGAAAACTCCGAGGCCGGCAGCAGGTGCCGCCTAAACGATCCCGGAACACGAAAGCCGGTGTTTTTTTTTTTTCGCGGCGATGTTTCCGCCCATTCGAAATTATATCCCGACGCGACGATTTTTCCGGACACGTCTCGCTCACGAGACACATTCGCAAACACACACGTACACACAAACACAAACGCACGCATGCAATACGCCATATGTGATACTTTAACGTTAATGTCGCCGTGTCACTATACATAGCCGATGAACACGTCATTCTTTTTGAAGAAACTAAAGAAACTATAAACGACCACCATACCAGCTCGGTCCGGCATCGACCGCGGGGTGGCCGACGAGGGGGTGTGGGGGTTGCGGGAGGAAAAGTTTGTGTTCCACATTTTTTGTCTACGTGGAAAGCGCGAAAAAATGCCGCCGGAACAATGGGATTCTCCCTTCTTTTTTGATATACAATAACTATTAATAGAGTCGTGCCCGATGTGTCACATTTTCTCCCGCGCTCGAGATATCGAATCGATACGACCCGATCGACCGCACGGTCGAT